ATGCAATTAGAACGTGTTGCATTTTAGCCTATCAAAGGCCCCGCAAGGTCGAGGCCGACGAGGCCGTCTCCGCCTGGTCCCCGCGTCCGCACAGCGTCCGCACGACAGCGGCGGCCCTCTGCTGCCGTGGCCGCGGCCGGTCTCGAGCAGCGTGTGCATCCCGACCGACAGCGCCTGTCCGCCCGGTCAAGTCAAGAGACGAGTCGGGCAGAGTTAATCGAACTTGATGATCCGGAAACGTGGGAGACACGGCTGCAGTGTGTCGCTCAGTTTCTATTCAGTTTGAAAATAATGGTTTATTGGGTATTATCATCATACATGTCAAGTCGGGGAGATGAGCGCCCGGGGAGCGGCACGTAGGCAACCCATCCGACGGTGGCGCGCCACGGTGCCTACCCTGCCGGCGGCAGCCACCGCTGTTCCAGCAGCTGCTCACTTACGGTACTGCCTCCTGGACAAAGTCTCGCTCCTACGTAGGAGCCCCCGGAATGAACGTTCATTATAGCAACACACGGGGCTATTCCTCTAGGACGAGCCCCTGGGCGCCGCTAGGGTAGGCCGCCTGCTGCACAGGCGTGTTCGACGGGTCTGCCTACCCAGCTGTTCGCAGGCGCTTATCTAAAGTTTCCGCCTTCGACCTCATTCGTGAAGTGCGGGTGTGTACCGGCTACCGGCTGATTGAAAGTGTCGATTTGTAGTCGATGTGAGCTGTTTCTTCACAAATCGAATCGACATGTAAATTTCGATGGTTTATTGATTTCGAACTGAGAGGACAAATATCCACCGATTCGACTAAAAAAAATCGACAAATCATCGACGTCCGCGGACGACATCGAATCGACATCTTTCCGACAGTTCATTTTTGGCTGGGAACTGATGAACTTCGGGTTGGGCGGTCGCTCCAGACGCTCAAGTCAGCCTTCAGAGCAGAGTCAGCGCTCAGCCCGACTGGCCATGTGAATTGGGCGGAGCTCGGTCGGAACTGGGCAATAATTCGAATATTGGTGCTAAGCAGAGCATGTGGCTGACTCCGCACCTCGCATTCTGCTAAGTTATACTGTACCGCATGCACGGGTGCGGGTGGCTTGCCCACTTGCACGGGGCCGCAAGGAGCCGTGGGTGGCGAGGATAGGCCAACCCAATCGCATCCGTGCATGCCCGGTGCAGCATAACGCACTACGAAAGTGCGCCGGTATAATCAACGACAGGATCGGATCAATGAGTGCGACCATCCTTTACAGGTTTTCTTGGGTTTTCTCCTGACTTGAACTCATCGTCAGACAAACATCGGGCTAAATTCTGCATGACGTCGAAGGTCCATATGTGGCCTCGTTTGCGTAAGCTCTACGATGAGGAACACAACCCGCGAATGTCCGCGACGGGCGCAGATGGCGCACCTAGCGCCAGCGGAGCGAGCGGTTGCGTTGCGGTAAGAGCAGAGGCCAGAATTATAAGAGCTAAGATATAAACGCTAAAGTGCCTTTGGCCGGAAGACAAACGTGCGGTCAGTTGTCTACCGGGGTCGTTTGCTCTTTGCGTCCTCGGTCGCAGCCGAAAGTTTTTGGTGCTGGTCGTCCTCATGCGTGTGAGGGTTTCCCCGTTCGTCGCTGTCGAGTCGAAGAGTTTGGCTCTTCGTCGGCTCCAGCCCTGGAAGGGGAGTTTTCTTTGAAACACTTTATTTTCTCCTGGTGCGCACATTTGCTTTCCTTATGGCGGCATACACCACAACTATGCCCATTTATTAAGGGGGGATCCTAGTGTAGCGGCTAAAAAACAAGGGTATTTTTTGGGATTTAATTGGTGGAAAACGATAACTCTTATTGAAAATCGGTAAAGGCCATTTAATAAAGGGTTCTTTTAACTTTAAAACAGCAAAACGTAAGTCCCGATATTTTCACTGTTGCCGGAGGAAAGTGGTGTAGAAGAGGCCCCCCATTTTAAAACTGGGCGCAAGCCCACAGCCCAAACGGTTAATCCCAGGGAGCTAATTTTTTTTGTGGTTGTTCCTAGAACGTGTGGCTATGGTGGGTACTAGGATTTCCGGGATCGGAGTAATCCTTCCTACAGAAAAAAAATCATAACTTTGAAAATGTTCCCTAAAATTTTAATAGTAAAAGTTTAACTTGCACGAAAAAATACTAAAAATCATTTCACCGCAAAAGTTCTAGTACCCACCATAGCCGGGTCCCTTCTGAGTCTACAAAACTTGGGCCGGACTGTTTCAGACGACCGAGTCGACCTGGACACTTGCGCCCGTGACCATGTGTCATGCGCGAAGGGTGCCTATTCTGCACCACTTTTCTCCGGCTACAATGAAAATATCGGGACTTACGTTTTGCTGTTTTAAAGTTAAAAGAACCCTCTATTAAATGGCCTTCACCGATTTTCAATAGGAGTTATCGTTTTCCACCAATTAAATCCAAAAAATACCCTTGATTTTGAGCCGCTACACTAGGATCCCCCCTTAAAGTGGGCACTGTACACTGGTAAAACAAGTGTGCATAATTTAAGCACCAACGTGTTTAAGTTGTGATTTTAAACATTACATGGTGTTTAGCTCAAGTTGCACACTTGCGTGGTGTGCACATTTTAAACGTTTTGTAAACGTTTTGATTCTGCACACTTGGATACACACAAATCTATAGGAACCATATGGCGTGCAGCTGCTATACTTTTCGGAAAGTGTTTAAAGTTTACACACCAATTGATTTTAACCTATACACCACAATGTGTTGAGAAAATGCACACTTGAACTTAAACACCAATTGGCGTGCAACATTAAACACTTGTTTTAGCGGTGTCCTTCCGGGAACACATAAGCTTCGGAGGGCTGAGGGCGGATGAGTCACTGGGAGCGGTGGCGGCGAGGCGGCGGTATGCGTCCTGCTGTGCGATAGTCACAACACGTCGGCGTCTCTTTCAAAGATTGGCGCCATTGGAGGGAGGCCCTTTCTCAGCGGTGGTCATCGGAGACGACCGCTCCAGGGCGCAAATGCGCAGATCTTGTTTTGCATCGTCAGTTCCTGTGAGGCCTTCGCAGGCCTTTCGCGGGCCTTCGCGGAGAACCGGCGGGACGAGCGGGAGGGGGAGGGGGGGGCTCTCCCGCAGTAAGAGAAGGGCGACAACAGTCATTTAATACCACTAAACGCCCCGCATTTCCCTAAGATCACAGCGATTTCATTTTATTCGGTAGCCGTAGGACAATTTTAATCGTCGCCGCACATTCACACCATATCCATGATCCATACTTCATCGTATTCATGATTCACGCGAGATCCATGCGAAACCCAACTTTAATCATAGTAATCCCAGCGTTGTGCATGTTTCAAATATGGTAACGTGGAAAAATAGAGGTACGATCATTGACAGTGCTGCTGACTCCTGGCCTGTGGGCGTGGGCCCAGCCATGGGACCCGAGTTTCTGCACGACCCGCAGAGTCGCCTGACGAGGAGGTTCAAAGAGTCGTGAGCATCGCCGCCCGGTGAGCCCCCCCTGGTCTCGTGTCAGTGGCTATTACCCCCCCCCCCCCCCTTCCCCCCTCACGGGCCACGTGCCGCACTTGCCACTCTTGGACAGGTTACAATGCCGTTTCCCCATCCGCGCGCGCATCTTTTTGCAGCCTTTCCCCTCTCCTCCGCTCTCCTTTCCCCTCTCCTCCACTCTCCTTTCTCCCCTCGCATCGCCGAGTATCGCCTCTTTTGTATCGCTCCGGGTCGCGTTTTTGTCGCTGAGGCCACAGCAGATGAGAGTTGACTTCAGCCCCAAGCGGGACGCGCGCGCGCGCGCGTGTGTGTGTGTGTGGGGGGGGGGGGGGG